GAGGAGGAGGAGGAAAAAGAAGAAGAAGAAGAAGAAGAATAAGCAGAAGAAGAAGAAGAAGACGAAGAAGCATAATATTAAGAAGAAGAATAAGAAGAATAATAATAATAATAAGAAGAATAATAAGAAGAATAATAAGAATAATGATAATAATAAGAAGAAGAATAAGAAGAATAATAAGAATAATAAGAATAAGAAGAAGAAGAAGAAGAAGAAGAAGAAGAAGAATAAGAAGAATAATAAGAATAATAATAATAATAAGAAGAAGAATAATAATAAGACGAATAAGAAGAAGAAGACGAAGCAGAATAAGAAGAAGAATAATAAGAAGAAGAATAAGAATAAGAAGAATAATAATAATAATAAGAATAAGAAGAAGAAGAATAATAATAATAATAAGAAGAAGAATAATAAGAAGAAGAAGACGAAGAAGAATAAGACGAATAATAATAATAATAATAAGAAGAAGAATAATACGAATAATAAGAAGAAGACGAAGAAGAAGAAGAAGAAGAAGAAGAAGAAGAAGAATAATAATAATAAGAAGAAGAAGAAGAATAAGAAGAATAATAAGAAGAATAAGAAGAGGAATAAGAAGAAGAAGAAGAAGAAGAAGAAGAGGAGGAGGAGGAGGAGGAGGAGGAGGGAGGGGGAGGAGTGAGGGGGAGTGGGAGGAGGAGGAGGGGAGGAGAGAGGAGGAGGAGGAGGAGGAGGAGGAGGAGGAGGAGGCGGAGGAGGCAGGAGGAGGAGGAGGAGGAGAGGAGGAGAGAGGAGGGAGGAGGGGGAGGAGAGGAGGAGGAGAGAGGAGGAGGAATGATGTGGTGGAGGAGGAGGAGGAGGAGGAGAGGAGGAGGAGGAGGAGGGGCGGAGGATGAGGAGGGGGATGAGGAGAGGTAGGGGAGGATGGGGAGGCTGTGGAGGAGAATGAGGATGAGGGAGAGGAGGAGGAGCGAGGAGGAGGAGGAGGAGGAGGAGGAGGAGGAGGAGGAGGAGGAGGAGGAGGAGGAGGAGAGGAGGTAGGAGGAGACGAGGAGGTAGTGAGGAGGAGGAGGAGAGAGAGGACGGAGGAGGAGGAGGAGGAGGAGGAGGAGGAGGAGCAGGGGGAGTGGAGGAGGAAGAGGAGGAAAAGGAGGAGAGAGGAGGAGGAGGAGGAAGAGGAGGGGAAGAGGGACCAGGAGGGGGAGGAGGGGGAGGGGGCGGATGAGGGGAGGGAGGGGGAGGAGGAGTCGGAAGGAGGAGGGGGAGGAAAAGGAGGAGGAAGAGGCGGAGGAGGAGGAGGAGGAGGAGGAGGAGGAGGAGGAGGAGGAGGAGGCGGAGGAAGCGGAGGAGGAGGAGGAGGAGGAGGAGGAGGAGGAGGGGGAAAAAGAGGATGCTGATGATTATGATGACGATGCTGATGGTAATGATGATGAGGAGGAAGAGGCTTAGGCGGATGAGCAGGATGATGTTGAGGAGGAGGAGGACAACGCGGGCACTCAATCATAAGAGACATACTGATACTACTGTTACGGATAAGACGAAGACCGATACGACGCCGAATAGTATGAATACGAACAGGGATGGTAATACTAATAATCCGAGTAAGAAGACGATCTTAAGACTACGAGTGGTACTAATCATACGGAGGAACGCGCTACTACTTACACGAGTAATAATTACAATGCCACTAATATTAGCACGAACGTGAATACACGTAATACCGCGACTAACAAAACGAACGTGAATATTATAGGTAAACATAAGGGTGCTCATGCGAACCACAAAACACATACAGCTTCGAATACTATTAACACATCGTATGACTATGATGAGAATGAGGAGGAGGAGGGAGGAGGAACGGGAGGATAAATACTACTAACACGAATAACGCTAGCACTACTGCTACAAATAATAATAATAGCCATAGTCGGACTATTGAGAATACGAGTACGGCTGAAAAGAAACAGAAGAGTCATACTACCACACTTAACAACATTAGCAATAGTTACAATACTGATATTACGGTTACTACTAATGATATTGACCACCCTAACACTTAGTACAACAAGACTACTACTACTATTATTACTACTACTACTACTACTCCGACTAGTCCGACGACGACGACGACTACTACTACTACTACTACTACTACTACTACTACTACTACTACTACTACTACTACTACTACTACTACTACTACTACTACACCACCACCACCACCACCACCACCACCACCACCACCACTACTACTACTACTACTACTACTACTACTGCTGCTGCTGCTGCTGCTGCTGCTGCTACTACTACTACTACTACTACTACCACTACTATCAGTAACAGTAAGAGGAGGAGGAAGAGGAAGACGAAGAGGAAGAGGAACAGGAGTGCAGGAGAAGGAAGGGGAAAAGGAGGGGGAGAAGGAGGAGGAGGAAGAAGAGTACGACGAGGAGGAGGAGGAGGAGGAGGAGGAGGAGGAGGAGGAAGAGGACGAGGAGGAGGAGGAGGAACCCAGGCGGAGGAGGAGGGCGAGGAGGAGGAGGCCGATCCTCCCCCCCTGGGCCAGTCGCCCCCGCCGGCGGACCTGCAGCTGCAGCCGTGCGCCACCCCGGAGGACGCCCCGCCAAGGCGCGTGCGCGTCGTCGTCGTCGTCGTTGTTTTGGTGGGTGTCGTCGTCCCCAGACCCTGGACATCCCTCGCGTTGATTTGGTGCAGCCCTGGCGTTTTCTTTCCATTTCGGTCTTCGGGCTTCGTTGCCGGTTCCCTGAGATAGGGGTCGGGGACGAAGAACTACCCTCGGGAAAGGGGTCGAGGCTGCTGGGGCCGCGGATTGAACAAATCTATCCATCGGATGTCTGGGTCGTTGGTTGTACGTCAACTTCAGCTTCTAGGGCTCAGAGGGCCATGGAAACGGCATATTCATTTTTTGATTCCGTATTTCTGGCTCTTGAGTCGGAAAAGTCGGAGAAACAGCTGTCCACCGAAACGGAAACAACAACCGGCGCCAGATTCGGACTCGGAACCACCATAGCCGCAACAAAATCGGCGACGGAACCGAAATGAAATCGGCGATGCTATTTGACAAACAACAACGCATCGTTTCGTTCTGTGGTGTTTTTCGGGCCCCTGGTTTCTTGAAATCGATCCAGGGCCCACGACGGCTTAGGAGAGGCAGGCCCCCAAGGAGGTCCAGAAGGGCTAAACTCTTCCGACATGCTGTTATGATGACCCCAACTGTCTACGAAAAAGCCCCAGGAGAGATCCCAAACGGTCTAACTCAGAGCCACACCAAATGACAGCCTTGGGTGCTGGACAACGTTCGTCATGCTCCATTTCCTGGCCCCGGGTCGTTTCAGGCAGGGAGTCTTCCCAATGCCCCATGTCATCCCCATCCTGTACCTACGGGACCTCCCCATTGCCCAGCTCTAAGGTATTTCAATTCCGCTACAAAGGGCCCACAGACCACCCAAGACGGCCCTAACATGGTTCACTCGATTCCAAGAAAGCCCAGCAGGCTCCGTATTGAGACGATTCTGTCTCAAACCAGCCGCAGAGAGCTGCAATATGCGCAATATACACCTCATAGAATTTTGATCCGCGAGTGCAAACTCACGATGGGGCAACAAGAAGCCCACCGAAGGAAGAGTCGAGGCCCATAACGTTCTAGTGGCTTTAGATTTTGTGAGTCCGTGGGCCACAGTTTCGAATCATCTCCTGAGCTCCACGTGCTGCTTCGCATTTTCCCTGCTCACCTCGCATATATGGTTGTGTTGCGCTCATCTCCCCTGGGTGCGCTCTCCTGGGCTCACTGTTTCGTGCAATTTGCATCTTTCCATGGTCCCCACCTGAACTCTAACGGCTATGTCTGCAATATTGCCACGGTATCTGGACCAGACTTGAAGCGGCTCGAAGCGAGCCTTCACATTCTTGGTATTCATGTGTGACTGTATGTATATATGCATGTCGGTAGGTACGTGTCTATGTGAGTATGCATGCATGTATGTAAGTGTGCATGTATGCATGTATGTATGCATGCATGCATGTATGTATGGATGCGTGTGCATGTGTGCATGTGTGCATGTGTGCATGTTTACATGCATGCATGTATGCATGCATGCATGCAGACATGCATGCAGGCGTGTATATATGTATGTATGTATGCATGTATGCATGTATGTACGCACGTACATGCGTATGTATATATGACTGTATGTATATGTGTGTATGCATGTATGCATGTATGTATGTATTCATGCATGCATGTATGTAGGTACGTATGCATGTCTGCATGTATGCCTGTGTGTATATTCATGTGTATGTGTATATGCATGCGTATGTGTATATGTGTGTACGTGTGTACGTATGCATGTATGCATGCATGCATGCATACATGCATGCATGTATGCACGCGTGTACGCACACACCCACGTACGCACGTATTTACGCATGCATTATATCATGCATGTATTTATGTACGTACGTATGTAGGTAGGCAGGCAGGCAGACAGGCAGGCAGGTATGTGTGTATGTATGTATGGCTGGATGGTTGGATGGATGTATGGATGTATGCATGCATGCGTGCATGCAACTATGTAAGTATGCATGTGTATATATATATATATATATATGTATGCACGCATTTATGTTTGCATGCATGTATGTATGCATGCATGTATGTATGCATGCATACATGCATGTATGCTGAAAGCGTTTGTTAGACATGTCGGTGCATGTTTGCATTGAGGTCTATTATGATTTGCCCCTATAGCTTACATATACATCCCGCATGGATCCCTCCCAGATGGCTCCCACAAGCAAGCACCCACTGGAGTCCCAAGACCCTCTCGGGTGGCCCCGTCGAGCGTTTCTTGGTCTTCTGGTCCTCTTGAGTGCCCTTGCCCAGACTCGACAATGATGCCAAAGCAATCAGGAGGACGCCCAAACGGCCCCACGGGAGTCCGAGGCGGCTTTTGGAATTCCCGAGACGGCCCAGCAAAGAAAACTTTCAGGAGGCATCTCAGACACACGAGCTATTTGTTTTCAGTGAGGTTTTGTAGGAATCCCAGGCCCTATGGACGGGAACTTGCAATTATGACCCCTTCCCCTGTAGGAGTGCGAGGCAATAGTGTAGGTATGGGCAGGTGATGGGTAGGAGCATGCAGCATGTAGCATTGAGCATTGTGCACTGTCATCCATAGCCTTTTGAGCATCAAGGGAGAGAAAACGAACTCGCTTAGCCCATCTCCCCCATCACCCCAAATCCTTTCTGCATGGTTGCCGAGCCGTGACAGGTCTACGATTGAGCCCTATACCAACATGGAGCAGCAGATGGCAGAGATCCTCCAGGGAGTGCAGCAGACCACTGCACAACTCGCGCAGCAGAACGAGCAGCTGCGCCAGACGGTCGCCCAGCAGAACGACTTCATAGGGCAGTTCCGGCAACAGTCCCAGGCCGAGATTCAGGCGCTGCGGGAAGGCATGGCCGCGCAGAGCAGGGCTTTAGAAGAGGCCCTCGGCAGAGGACGATCGGACGGTGTCGTCGATGTCAGTAAGGTTGGGAAGCCAGAGGCGCTCCGAGGCAGCACCACGCAGGAGGTCAGGAAGGCATGGCCCGATTGGTCATATACCTTCAAGACTTGGTTTTGCTCCCAGTTCGAGTGCGGAGAAGATGCTCTCAAGTGGGCCCAAGAGCTGTACGACAAGGACGTGGATCCAGATGCCGTGTTGGAAGCTGTGCAGCAGAATCCGGCTTGGAACGAGATCATCAATCCATTGTCTCGGCAGTTGCACGTTTCGTTGACTGCCCCCCTGCAAGGATGATGCTCTGAGTTTCATGAAGAACTCCATGAAAAAGGTGCGACCATGGGGCTCGATTGCTGGAAGCGCCTGTGCAAGGAGTACGACCCCGTGAACGCAACTAGCAACCGGAAGATGTTCAGGCGACACACGACCCAAGCAAACATTCTTGGATGGATTGCGCCGGGCTTTGGAGAAGTGGGAGGCCGACCCCAAGGAGCACAGGGACCGCACAGGCAAGGACCCGGAGGACGACCAGAAGGTTTTGCGTTTCCAGGACATGTGCCCGGAGAACCTCCAGACCCATCTGGAGCTCCACGCTGCTCGCCTGACGACTTACGTCTCCGTCAAGAAGGATATTGACGGATACCTTGATTCCAGATCGGGCCGCGAGACGGGAGGCGCAACCCCTATGGAGATTCACAGTTTGCGTAGCGCTAAAGGCAAAGGTCGTAAGGGCCAGCGTGAACAGCCTCACGGCGAGGAGTCGTGCCCCCATTGCCAGAGACGGATCACAGTGAATCGCGCTGCTTGGGATTGCTGGTACTACCCCAGGAACAGGAAACCCGAAACCATTGCCAAACGAGCAGCGAAAGCCAAAGCACAGGTTTCCCCAAAGAGTGAAAAAGGAGGAAACGGCAAAGGCAAAGGCAAGGGCAAAGGCAAGGGGGTGCACTCTCTCGAAGAGCAGGAGTGGCCAGAAGAGGCAGCCGCCGAAGGCGAGGTGGACGCGTTCTTCGTGCTCGAACAGGCCGAACGACGTCCCCGGCGTCAGCGGCAAACGACCTTGGACGCCATCCCAGAGGAGCCTGGCGCTGGGTCAGCGCAGAAATGTGGCGTGGAACCGTTTCGGCCCACGCCCCCGCCGCAGGAGCCCGAAGCGCTCACTCAGGCGAGCCGCGCTGCTCGCGGAGTGCAGGATCCAGACCACGTTGCGATGCTGAACACCACTGGGCATTGCATGCGGGCGGCTCTCAGTAGCAACGTCCGGAGGCTCGACGGAGAGATAGCTTTGGGGCAAGACCAGGCCAAAGCAGACGAGCTCTGGAGGCACCGCGACACCGCCATCGAGACACGGGGTCGGCTCAAGAAGCAACGCGCGGCATCGAGGAAGCAAGGCTACCGGGAGGACGCGCGCTGCCGCGCGGACTTCGCCGCGGGGCACAGCAAAAACTTTCGAAGAAGAAGCTGAAGAGCAGGATCCGTGCTAAGATCCATTGAATGGCCACCGGTGCCTCGCGAGCCGCAAAGCACCGTGAGCGCGAAGACGCTTGGCACGGCGACTTCAGAGGTGAAGGCCGGCCTGCTGACCGCAGTGACCAGTACGACCAGCGCGGAGGCCGTTTTGACGGTGACCGCTCCGACCTGCAGCCGTCGATGGTGCGAGGCCGCTCAGCCACCAGGGGCAGCGATCCCACTGGAGCGGCGATGCGGACTGCGGGCCTCTCCGGCCACGCAACTGGGAAAAACCGCGCCGGGCAAAGCGCAACACGCCCGAGGCAAAGGCTAAGCGCGCCGAGAAGCGACAGGAGGCGTGGGAGGCTAAACGTACCGGTAGACGCCAGGAGGCGAGCGGGTCTGCCTCGGCCTCTAGCAGTTGCTCGTCGCAGCCGCCGTGGAGGCAGCCCGAGAGCCAGCCACCCTGACCTGAAAGTCTTGCTGGAGGACGAGACCGGCGACGTGGTCTTCAGCCTGAAGCAACAGACGGAGGCCGAGTGGGAGCGCGTCGACGTCGGAGCCGATTCGTGTGCAGCCACCAGCTGCATCCCTGAGGACAAGGCAGCCAGCTGGCCCCTGCTCAAGAGCACGGGGGCAACCACTTACACGAGCGCTGCCGGAACTCCGGTGGAGGTGCTCGGCGCTCGCAAGCCGCTGGTGTGGTTCCAGGGCGACTGCCAACATTTTGTGACCCTGAAGGTGCTTCGTCCGCTGCGCAAGTCTCTGTTCGCCGTCAGCGAGCTGATCAGGTCCTGCAAGGTTGTGTTCGACACTGAGGAGCATGGCGGCTTGTGCATGGAGAACAGGAAGATCGGCAGCAATATCAAGATCTATCAGCGCAACTGCGTTTTCGCCATCCCGGTCTGGTTCAAGGTGAAGCCGCCCGCGAAGATGATTGCAGCTCAGCGGGGGGGTCGGCTGGAGACCGACCCTTTCGCGGGGCAGTCTCTGCAGGCGTAAGGCCAGGGACCGGCGGGGTGCAGGGTGCCGTTTCGGCTGCTGCCAGTCAGAACCGCGCTGGGCGGAGTGCTGTTTCGGCGCCTTCCGCAGGTCGGCCTGGCCCCCCTGAGGTCGACGAGGCGTTGCTGCAGCCCGTGGAGGAGTCCGAGGGCTCGGTGTGCGAGCCTTGGGGCCCGGAGGAGGATGCCGAGGCTAGATGGCTGAAGGCCCGTCGCAGGCCGAAATCGACCAACCGAGCGTTTCATATTTACCTTTCCGTTTCCGGTCTTAGTGTCGATTCTGTGTCCGAGGTCGCGGCCAGTCGGCCGGCCACTACCGCGTGGGCCACGGCCAGGAGCAGATCCCCGCCATCGAGATCGACTGCGGGTTCTTGGGCGACAGATTCGCCTGCCAACGACCTGCCTGTTCTCTGTGGCCGTGACCGACAAGGCAAGACAGTGTGGTCTAGCCCCGTGCCTTGCAAGAGCGTGGAGGGCCACCCTCGCGGTTCGAACCGTCTGGAGGAGTGGTTGGAAGAGACGGGTTACGCACGAGTGGTTCAAGTCTGACCAGGGGTCTGCTATCATGGCTGTCATCCGCGCCGTCAAGAAGGCGTGGGCGGGGGGGCTCATCCCTGAGGCCGCTCCCAAATAATCCCATGAGAAGTCCAACGGCGCGGCCGAAGTGACCGCGAGGCAGGTGCGCGGCTTGGCCCGGGCCGTCAAGGAGCAGCCGGAGGACAATGCGGGCGACGAGCTTCCCCAGGACATCCGGTGCTTGCTTGGTTGATCGAGTGCGTCGTCGTCTTGATCGCACTCTTGGCCAACGGGTCTGAGGGATTTACGCCGTATTTCCGCCTCGAGGGCAAGCGCTGGAGAGCGTCTCTGCCCCTGTTCGGGGAATGCGTAGAGTTTAACGTGCAGGCCAGGCATAAGCTGGAGAGCAGATGGGCCCCTGCATGGGATCTATCTCGGGGTCCGGCGAGAGACGTCAAAGGAACTCGCGGGAACAGCTGAACACGTTTGCGTGGTGCAGTTTGGGAGGAAGCCGCAGGGCGAGGCTTGGGGCAAGGCCTCGCTTCTGTCCATCAGAGGGGCGCCGTGGCTACCGAACCCGAGGGCGGCCGATGCCGCGGAACTGCCGCTCCCGATCGAACTAGCACCAGAGTTGCCAGATGCGCCAACCGGGCCCGCCGTAGCCTTGAACCGAGAGGCTGAGCAGAGGCGCCTGTGCATCGCCGAGAGTGATGTGCAGGGCCCGCGGGTTGGCTACGCAGCCGGATGTCCAGCGCGCGACGCGACTCGACTGGGCGTTCGAGGTGCAGGTGTGCAGCATGCGCAGCAGTGCAGGCAGCGGATCGAGACTATTTTGTTGAAGTCTTCAGACCTTGCTCACCGGGCTCGTTTTGAATGCTACCTGGAACAACACATGAAGAGAGCGCAGGCTGCTGCAAAGGAGGCCCCTGCAGAAAGCGCCGCTCCAGCGGTTGCCCCAGCGACGGCACCGCCGCCGCAGACAGGAGCAGCGAGCTCGACGACGCCAGCCGATCGTGATTCGGCTCCTGCACAGGTACGGATGGAAGTCAAGACCCCCCCCCGCCCGCAAGCCGTCTCGCTCGCCCCCACCCGCCCTCCCAACGCAAACGTAGCGCCCGAATCTGGCCCGAGCCTCAGCAAATTCAGCAGTCGTCTTTGAATGGGTAGCTACTGGGGGCCAATCCGCCGCCGCCACCGCCGCCTCCGCCGCCGCCGCCGCCGCCGCCGCCGCAGCCGCCGCCGCCGCCGCCGCCTCCGCCCAGTGTGCTCTGTATTGTTTTTTGACATGGATGGTGGGGGGGGGGGCGTATCGGGTTGGCTGCGCATGTTCCGGATTTGGAGGCAGAGTGTATTTTCTAGTGTTTTTTACAAGGGATTGTGGGGGGGCGGTGTCGTCATGGACCTGGGTTGGCCCCCGGTCGCCTGGGGGAGGGGGTGTTTATTCATAGGGAACAGTGATTGTTGAGCGTGTTCCTACCGAGCGCTTGGCAGAGGACGCTGCTTCGGCCCCTGCCCCGAGCGCCGCCCCTGCGTCGCTCGACGTCGACGCATCCATGCCAGGCGCACGTAAGGGGCGCTCTGGCGAAGTGGCGCCTCCTGATGCCCCCGGTGACCCAAGCGGAAGCTCTATGGACCTGGGCGGTCTCGATGCCGAAGGGGAATTTCTCGAGCACTTGGAGAGGGCGCGGAAATGCGTTATTGCCGCCATCACAGAAAAACTCCCTCGACATAGGCAACCCCTACCCAGTTCGCGAGGAACTTGAGCCCTGGGGTCGCGACGGCGCCTCCGACGCTTGGGATCGCGATTCTTGTTTGGGGCTCTTCTATGACGACGTTTCCGGCAAGCTTCTCGACCCCGCCAAGGTCCAGGAGGCGAGGGCTTCGGATATCCAGTTCAGTAAGAAAATGAAGGCGTGGGACAGCGTTCCGCGACCAGCGAGATTTGAGGGCAGAGTCGTGCTCAAGGGACGCTGGGTGGACGTGGGCAAGGGCGACGATGATCGACCTCATGATCGCTCGCGTTACGTGGGCAAGGAGATCAAAAAGTGCTCCCGCAGTAGTCTGGTGGCCGAGTATTTCGCTGCCGTGCCGCCGCTGCAGGGCTGCAAGTTTCTCTTCATTCTTGTTGTGGCCCTCTCCTTCCCAGACCTCCATGGTGACCTTATTGTTCACGTTGGTGTACTTGTTGTTGGGTTCTTGGACGTCAGCCGCGCACGTTTTGTTGCAGTGGCACGGCGAGAAGTTTACGTGGGGCTCCCACCTGGATTTCAACAGTTGCATGGTCTGGATGTCGCCGCTCTGCTCCTGAGGAGCTTGTACGGCACACGTGACGCCAGCACGAATTGGGAGTTCACCATCAGAAGCGTTCTTGTGGATGAGCATGGCTTTGTCCAGGGCCGTGCTTCACCGTGCCATTATTGGCATCAGCAGCGCCGCTTCCGGGTGAGCGTGCACGGCGATGATTTCAATCTTTGGGAGCATTCTTGGCTGTGCAATGGTTGCACGGAGAGCTGGCTAAACGGGGGTTGGTCGAGATCCGAGGCATCTTCGGGCCGCCAGGCACCCCGGGCACCTTGCAGGAGATGAGGCACCTGAATCGTTTGATCACTTGGGACAGGCAGGGCATCACCTGGTAGCCAGATCCTCGGCACGTCGATCTACTATCTCGCGATGTTGGCGTCGCAGGGAACGCCGTTACGACGCCACTTGTGAAGGAGAGCGTCGCTGTTTTAAAGGAGGAGGATGTTGATGTAGGAAAGGAGGGTGCAGAGTTGTATCGTAGCCACACCATTGGAGCTGGTCATCTTGCCCAAAATCGCACGGATCTTCAACTTGCCGTCCGAGAGCTTGCCGAAGGAACGAGGAAAATTACGGAACGACACCAGATCATGTTGAAGCGTGTTGTGTGGTATCTTCGTTCTGCCCCGTGTTCGTCAGCGGTGGGCTTGCCAGGACAATTTCTGCCTCTATGACGTGTACAATGACGCGGACCATGCCGGTTGCATCCGTACACGAAAATCCACCTCCGGAGTCGTCGTGATGCTTGGCCGGGGCCAGCTGCTGCATTCTGTGTGCCGCGGCCGCGCCGTCATTGCATTGGGCTCCGGGGAGGCCGAGTACTATGGCCTCGTCACTGGGTGCTCCGAGGGACTCGGTGACCACAGCATGGCGAAAAAAATGGGTACACTGCTGAACCTGCACGTGTGGATGGACGCCGCGGACGGAACCGCCATTGGTTCACGTCGAGGCCTGGGCAAGGTCAAACACATTGACACTATCTTCCTGTGGGTCCAGGATCTGACCTCCAGCGGCAATATCACCCTAGGCAAGAAGCATACATCGGAGAACTATGCAGATGTGTTGACCAAGCCTGTGGACGCCACCATGCTACGATGCATCATGCTAGCGATGGGATTCGAGTGTCTCTCTGGCCGGGCAGTCCTGGGCTACACCATCTAAGGCTTGAGCGGCTACGGCAGCACATGGGCCCAGCAGGCTGGAGCCGGTTCGGCTCCCGCCCTGTGTGCTCGGACAGCCCGCGGTGTGACCCCCTGTCCTCGGGAGTCGTGTAGGGATCTGAGGCCCTATGGACGGGGACTTGTAACTATGACCCCTTCCCCTGTAGGAGTGCGAGGCTGTAGTGTAGGTATGGGCAGGGGATGGGTAGGAGCATACATCATGTAGCATTGAGCACTGTGCGCTGTCATCCATAGCCTTTTGAGCATCAAGGGAGAGGAAACGAACTCGCTTTAGCTTGTCTCCCCCATCACCCCAAATCCTGTCAGCAGGTTTCGTGCGGCTTGGGTATACCCGCTTCTTCGGTCTTCAGGGCGCCTGTCCGAGACCACCCAAACGCTTTCAAGCTCGCCCCAAGACGGCTTCAAGAGAGCCCTGACAAGCTCCAATACGGCCCAACACCGGGAGCGGGATCACGACGCACACCCCGCAATACACATGCCCCAATGTTTTAAATTATCGTGGCGTGAAACGTGCCGTGAGGCTCCGGGTTGCCGACCGTGGGAAAATTGTGAGCATGTTTTCGGTCGAGCTTCAGATGCTTCGCGCGGGGCCGAATCCGCGGGACGCCATCGTTCCCGCTGCTTCCATGCGGCCATGGAGGTCACCGCCACCGGCGAGAGCGCTTGTATTTGGCAGCACAGGTGAGGCAGGCCGATGCAAATACCCCGTCTTTCTCGAGCCGATTCGTTTCTCCGCGTACCAGTTGGTGCCTACATGAACGACCAGAAAACACCATCTACACCCACCCAGACTCAAATGTACACCCATCCAGAAAAATACACACACAAATGTGGCACATGTATCAGGAAAGCAACCTGTATGCCCACCAAACCTGGGGCACCAAATCCTGGTAGAGACTGTAACCCACGGGCCGCAGGGGATCCGCGGGACATCCGGAAATTTCTGAGGACCTCCGAAAATCGAAGATCTCCTGGCCTTTTTGGGGACCCCTGGAGACTTCGGGGGACCTCTGGAGACTTCCCAGGACCCCCAGACATTTCCAGGGATCCCTGGAGATTTCAGACTTTGGAGGCGCGACGTCGGCATACCTTTCGCGGCCATCCGTTGGCTCTACTATACATATATGCATATGTCTTTGTGTATATATATATATATATGTATATGTATGTTTGTATATGTATGTATGTGTATATTTTGATATGTTCACACTTTGGCGCTGCACAGCGAGGTGGCTGTCGATATTTCGCTCTCCACAGCAAGGCCCCGCGACGACCACAAGAGAGCCCCCCGAAGGCGGTCCCAAGATCGGAGGGCAGATTCGGGCAGCCAGGATTGAAAACCGCAGGGTGCATCCCTAGGGACTCGGCCGCCCAACAACGTTTGTTTACTTTGACGGCGTTGGACAGCTTTCGAGCGATTTGCGCACGCGGGTCGCTAGAGATAGTTAACCGTCTTCCGTTGCAGTTTGATGTTCTCCGTTGCTGCTTCCCAGCCATTTGATCCAAGCACAGCTCGCGCTGGCGGCTATAGTCTACATATATACATGCGTTCTTGGAGCGGTGCCCGATGAGCCGTGTTACTCTGTCGGGGTTTACCTTGGGGCTGGCATGAACAGAAGAGCCCCCCCAAAGGGGGTAACGGAGAGTGGGGGAGTCGAGGTATTAGGATATGCGTGTTGAGTGACCCAGTCTTCAATTCATTCTGGTTGATGTTTGCTTGCTTGCTGGCTTGGTTGATTACTTGCTTGATTGTTTTCACCATCGTTGATGCACGAGCCGTGTACGCACTATCCGAGCACAGGCATCGAGCCATTGTTTGTTTGATGCTCTGGCTTGCCCCGCATCCGCCGACCCGTTGACTCCCCTCTTCTGCCGTCCTCATCTTCTCATTCTCCCCGTCCCCTCGAAACTGGCCGGACAGACTCCTCTGTGAGCGCAGGCATCGAGCCCTCACTCGTTCGGTTATGCTTCCTACCTCTTCGGCTGCAAGCGGCAGGGGAGGATGAATATAGGAACTGTCCACCATCAGTCCCGTCGCAATTCGCCAGACACTGCCTGGGCGGCTCTCGTCGAACGGTTAGCGCTAAGCCCCCCCTGAAAGGTGAGAGGCTCATATGGACATTTGTGCGAATCGCGATCGTCCACTGACCCCGCCCACTCACCTCGATGCGCATACCTCACTTTGCAGGGCTGGGACAGTCAATATTCACATGCCCCAATATTGCGTTGTTAATTGTGACGAGGTTGCGGTATCCCGTGGCATCCTGGGATGTCGTTTGGTATCTTGAAGTCTGTCTACCTTCGCGTTCGCAGTATAGTCGCAACATTCCAGCAGATGTAGCACCTGGTCGTCGTTCTCCGCCTCAACACCAGCTGCGTTGCCAATGCCCCCTCCGCTTGCGCAGCTTGGACGCGGACGACCACCTGGAGTCTGCGTCGCAGGGGTCCTCGTTCGCCAGCAGGCCGCCCGACGGTTCTCTTGATTCTCCTATCCTTTTTGACCCTTCCGTTTCCCAGTCCTCTTTAGGGCCTTCTCGTCGAGTGTTCTCCCTACCACCAGTCCAGGGCCTGGCAGGGCTGACATGGTGATGGTCCCATGGCCCCGCCACAGGGGCGGTTGGGGCTCAGGAAGGGTGAGAGATAGATCAGCGGCCGTGGGAGGACCTGGGTGCGGCGAGGAGTTTGTTTCTTGCACCGTGCGAGCCGCTGCTTTGCCTTGAGACTCGACCGACGGATGCTCTACAACGTTGCCTTCGAGGAGGGGTGCTGCCCTCCATCATTGTGGCGTGTGACAGACGGGAGCCAACCGATCTGGCGGGATCAGGCGGGGCGCAGAGCCGAGGGCGCGCGCTCGAAACTTGGCGCCGCCCTCTGGCCGAGTCTCGGCTCCAGAGCTTGAGCTGCAGGGGCACACTGCTTCCCACCCCGCGTGTGTGTTGGGCCCTCGTTGTCCCAAACCTCCTGTGTGTTGGGTCCTCGTTTGGAATCCGCAGCGCCCCGCGTCACTCACTCATTCCTTCCACCTCCTCCCTCCTGCTCTTCTTCGTCCGCCTCCTCCTCCTCCTTGCTCTGACTTTGCTCTCCGCATGGTCTCTGCTTCGGCACGGCCCTCACACGTATCATGATCCTATACGTCGCCGCTACGAAAGTTTTGACCCATTTCGAGGCTCTACCAAGACAAGGTCGAACGAAGGCTCCAACGGTGGGCAGGGACCAACGCATCATTGAGCGCCAGAGCCTGCGAGCAGCAAGACGCCCCCACTTCGACTAAAAGGTTAGAATTTTGATTTTGAGGGACTCCTGGGCTGAATTACCATTCCGACTTTGAACCGAATGGGTTTCGATTTCTGCTGTTTGTAGAATCGCAATTTCGACTGCGAGCCCGAAAATTTGGACTTCGGTCGAACTGTTATCCTGATCACGTCTCAAGCGGATTGTCGCCTCCACTCGGACAACCAGTGTGGCATTGATTTTCCAAACATTTGAAAGTGCGATTCCTTGCGGGACTATCTAGAAACAACGATTTTGACCTGATGTCGAAACCCTTCGGCCCGAAGTCGAAAGGGCGATTCCGCTGGATTCTTCTTCGAAGAAACGTGTTCGACCGAAGTCAACCCCCCTTGTCCGAATTCCAAACTGCATTGTACTGGGGCACCGTCGCCTAGAGGGCCCCTTGGCACATGTCGTCCGTTGACGACGTTTTAACGGGGACTCGCCACCAAACGGGACGAGTCGAATGTTGGCCGAGTTTTTGTAGCGGCGAAGTGGGGTCTCAGGCAAGTTCTGGTCGCGTTGCAAACAGCGCCGAGCGCTTGGTGCGTTCGGCGGCTGACAGTAGGGACCGATGAGACCAAAGCCAACGTTCATGTCAACCATCTGGGTCCGTCGCCGTTGCGAGAGTTTTGACCTGTTTCGTGTCTCTTCCAAGACAATTCCGAACGCAGGCTCCAATGGTGGGCAGCGACCAATGCGCCATTGAGCGCCCGAGCCTGCGAGCAGCACGACGCTTCCACTTCGACTTCGACCCCGGAAAGGGCCGAAGTAAAATTTAGAGGAATTCGCGGGCGGAATCGCCATCTCGATTTTGAACCGAATGGGTTTCGACTTCTGCTTTGGGCGGGATCGCCATTTCGATTCGGAACCCGAAAATTGCGACTTCGGTTGAAGTTTTTTCGATGGAGTCTCAAGCGGAATCGCCTCCATGACTCGGGCAACCCGTTTGGCATTTAAGATTTCTCAAGTTCAGCAACCCGGGAAGTCGGAAGTGTGGTAATCGCTCGGGACTTACCCGAATTAGTTAATTCGTTTTAGTGTCGATCCCGCCAAACATTTCTTCAGAGAAACACTTTCGACTTGATCGAAGTCGGACCCCCCCGGTCCGCACTCCAAATTGCGTGTACATGCTTTCGCTACACGACGTAACGGGACGAACCCTGGCAATATTGTTATGGGGCCTCGTCGCCTAACGGGCCCCTTTCAACATATCGTCCGTTGACGACGTCGTGCCGGGGCCTCGCCACCAAGCGGGGGGAGTGGAATTTTGACAGAAATTTCGTAGCGGCGAAGCGGTATGTCAGGCGAGTTACGATCGCGTGGCAAACGGCGCTGCGCACTTGGCAGCCGCGTTCGGCGGCTGCCAGCAGGGGCCGCCAAGGTTAATGCGAACGTTCAGTTTAACCTTGCGGGCCCAGTGGGGTCTCAGGCGAGTCATGGTCAACAGTGCTGCGCGCCTGACAACCGTGCTCTGTGGCTGACGGTAGGGGCCGCTGAGACCAGAGCAAACGTTCGCGTCAACCATCTGGGTCCGGCGCCGCCACGGAAGTTTTGATTGATTTTGTGGCTCTACCAGGACAGTGCCGATCGAAGGTTCCAATGGTGGGCAGGGGCCAACGCGCCATTGAGTACAGCTTTCGCTGGCCCCCGCCTGCTGACAGTGCCCTAGGATGATGGCGCCAAAGGTCGCACGCTTCGGGCTCGAAGTTGAAATAGCGATTCCGCCACATATTCCCCCAAAAATAGAAAACGAACCTCAATCGGTTCAAAATCGCAATGGCGACTCCGCCTGCAAGGTCCTCCAAAGCTTACTTCGAACCTTTTCCGGTGTGAAGTCGAAGTGGGCGCCTCTTGCCGATCGCGGGCTCGGGTACATAAAACAAGCAAGAGTGGACTCATGACGCGATGAGGGCATCCTTTTACTCGCAGCACCGTGCGGGCCCTTATGGGCCAGGCGTATGTTGATGTGTCTGAGCAGGCTGCTTCAGCAAACTCACCTCCGGGGGGGTCTTCCTCAGAGCCCCCCCGAGGTCCCAGTCGCGCACGAGCTCCACCTGAGACTGGAAATCCCATTTCAAACTGCAAAGCGCAGACAGGGTCGGAGGTCGCAGAAGACATGGGCGGTCATGGCGGGAAGGCTTGAACGACGCGTCGGGGAGGTGACCTTATGCACCTCATCACGACGCGGCCCCTTCACCCGACCAGAGCATAGATAAATTCTGTTTGGGGAGCGATCATTCTTTTAGAGCGCTGCCAGCAGGCGGGGGCCAGCGAAAGCTGTCCAGATAAAACAAGCAAGAGTGGGCTCATGACGCGATGAGGGCATCCTTTTACTCGCAGCACCGTGCGGGCCCTTATGGGCCAAGCGTGTGTTGATGTGTCTGAGCAGGCTGCTTCGGCAAACTCACCTCGGGGTGGGTCTCCCTCAGACTCCCCCCGAGGTTCCAGTCGCGCGCGAGCTCCATCTGAGACTGGAGCTCCCAATTACATTATCCACACCCTTTGGCTGGCAACGTCGAAATTGTTGTCGCAGTCGGGCAGGGCGAGGTGGGGGGCAGCGGCAACCGGGAAAAACACATTCACCACCACGTGGCCATGCTCAAGACAGGAAGCAGCGCCACAATTTGAAAAATCACATGCACCATCATAGCCGACATTCCGTGCATCGCGCTATGACGCCATTGCGCGCCGGCCCCAGAGTCGCCGACGCGGGCGACTGTTGCGAGCCCGCGAGGTCGGACCCCCGCTCGGCCGCCCTCGCGTCCACGAGCGCCTCGATGATGATCTCGCCGAGGGCGTGGCATAGCTCCGGTCGGTAGGTCTGCGCCGCAGCTGTCCGAGAAGTGCAGCTCCCTGGAGCCTCTCGCCCCTCGAGCGTGATCGGATGACGTCCTTGGCGATTGCATGTGAGACAGAGAAGAGCCGTTGCGCCTCCCAATGGCCCCGATCACCGTGGGCTTTATGGAGAGGGCCCCGCAGCGGCGCTGATCGAGGGGCTGCGCCCAGCCGTCGAAGTCCCTGATGAGGCTTCGCATCTCTTTCAGATCCCAGATCGACGGGTCGGGCAGCCTCCCGCGGTCGGCGGGGTGCCCCATCAAGCGAATGCCGCCGACCTCGCAGACGGCGCGGGTCATTGACGGCGCCGTCATGAGCGCCTTGGTGTCCAGGTCGAGCCGACGCCGCTCCCGTGGCGACATGATGACGTCGGTTCGGCCCCGCAGCGCGGCACGGGAAGCGAGCGCGGCTCTATGCCGAACATGAGGGCGACGCCAGCACGCCGTGGAAGTAGCCTTTGCCGACAAGCTTCGCGATGATGTCCCGGAATTTGGGGCCGGCGAGGTCGTGCTTCGGGTCGATCACGGCGTCCAAGGGCCACGCGTCGATAAGGATGCCAGCGCCGTGGGCGCGCCGTCGAAGAGCCTCTTCGAGATCTCCAGGCCGACGAGCCCCAGCAAACAGGTCGTGGAAACGGAGCGCGCGCAGGTTCGGGACCTCTGGCGTCGGGGCTGAGGCCAGCGCCAGTTCGTCCGCGTCGCGCGCGTGCCCGCCACAGCCCTCCTGGCATATGTGGAAGATGTCCCAGACCAGGGTCGGTGGCGACACCCGCTGTCTGCTCCTCTCGCCTCTCTGTGCGTTACCCTCAAGGCGCGCGCGTCTCTGTGGGGCTTCCTGCGAGTGTTTGTAACATCATTTCTTTTGTGGCCTTCTCGACGTGCACCTCTGCAGGACGGCTTCCGAGCGAGGTCAAGGCGGAAGCCTACTCTGACATGGGCGCGCCATTCGTAAGGCGGCGCAATCGCTTCATATGATGTGACGACTATCTTTGCTCATTCTTTGTGCGCTGTGTGGCCATCGTTGATTGTGTCTGTTGGAAGCTGAATTGGCGATCTTGCACGCGTGGGAAGTTCCCCGTTCTGGAAATATGCGCCCCCCACCTCGTGTTTCTGAGCTTCGAGACGGCATGGTGCGATCCCGTCAGTGCGAGCTCCCGTTCAATCAGGCCGCGCGGGTAGCGCTGGACAACCTGAGTTGTTCGGGTACCGAGGCAGGTTCACTTCCTGTGCTTCGCCGGTGGCAGCACCTGCTGCGTCTCTGCCTCGTCGCCTTGGCTGGGCGCTGCTACGCGTTTTTTTTTTTTTTTTTTTTTTTTTCTTCTTCTTCTTCTCCTTTTCTTCTACAGGGCATCCAA